CATTAAGACTTTGGTACATTTCGTGTTTATTTACCATTAATTTTTTTTATTGAGACGTTCCAAGTGCCTGTGGTGTGGGTGAAGTCTAAGTTTAGTTTCCAATTGCACATGTGTATACGGTTGACGGAATTGATTTAGTAGACTAGGACAAATTCAGAATAGTGTTATTGACAAAATGCCCATATGTCATGTGATTTCTAACTGCCGTGTTGGCAATTTACTTGCTTATTCTTAGGTAAACTGTAAAGGCATTTCCATGGTAAGCGTGTTAATACCGGGAGTAATACATCAGCGCGCTGACATAGGCATAGCACTTAGCACATATATAGTATATAGCACATATCATTTGATCTGTTAATAACTAGCTTCTCTATAAATATGTATTCATTAACGTATCATAAACGTATGCACTTAGCCTGTTTTGTTATAAATTACACTCAAGACTGTTTAATTATATGGTCATTACTGTAAATATTCTGCTCAAATTTGTTTGATTTTTGGAATTATCTCTGCTTATATCTTGCATAACATGCAAGCAATTGTTGATCATGTAATTTTCGGATCTTCATACTTGTATTTATTCCACACTGTTTTCAGCTACACATTTAAAGTTCACTTATAGCTAAAATATTATAGTAAATCACTATTATACACATTTATATCACATTTTATTTTTATTATTTTATATTTTTATTATTATCACATTTATAATTTTTTTTTCTAGAGGATGGCTGACATGATGACCGTATGGTCTTTTCGCCATCCTTTCGCTGTATTGTTTTCTTTATTTACCTTGTTAATTTTTGTTCTATGCTGTGCGCGATAGGGGTGGATGCGTTTATGTCGCCGGAGACACTCTAGCCAAAAATTTATTCACGACTCACAATCAACCGTACGCCTACTGGTAGTACTGCTAACTAATAACTTAGAAGTTAGAGTTAGAGTCAGACTTAGACCGAATAATTCTGTCCCATATAACCTTTTTTATATTTTGGTGAGGGTTATATTGGGACAGAACGGGGTTCATTGAAATTTCGTGAGATCGTATGCAAAATGCATGCGCTGAGAATGTAGACCGAATAATTCTGTCCCATATAACCTTTTTTATATTTTGGTGAGGGTTATATTGGGACAGAACGGGGTTCATTGAAATTTCGTGAGATCGCATGCAAAATGCATGCGCTGCTAATGCGGCCCGTACGCCGCTATTGGTGCAAAAAAAACCTACCGTTCCCTTCTACATGGCTTTCCCTTGCTACTGATGTGTGTATACATTCAGTTCAATCATTATTCACTTCTTAAAAGATTGTTTTTCATAAACACCGCTTCGTTCAACTTTCCTAAATTACATGGCCATTTACAAACAATCAGACCAATCACAGCGAGTCTATCAGGCCTCCTGCAGCGCCACAGATACAAGCGAGAACCAGGGGCTATTGTAAGACTCGCACTGATTGATCTGATTGTTTGTAAATGGCGATGTAATTTAGGAAAGTTGAACGAAGCGGTGTTTATGAAAAACAATCTTTTAAGAAGTGAATAACGATTGAAGTGAATGTATACACATATCAGTAGCAAGGTAAAGCCATGTAGAAGGGAACGGTAGGTTTTTTTTCGCGCCAATAGCGGCGTACGGGCCGCATTCTCAGTAGACCGAATAATTCTGTCCCATATAACCTTTTTTATATTTTGATGAGGGTTATATTGGGACAGAACGGGGTTCATTGAAATTTCGTGAGATCGCATGCCAAATGCATGCGCTGCGAATGCGGCCCGTACGCCGCTATTGGCGCGAAAAAACCCCTACCGTTTCCTTCTACATGACTTTACCTTGCTACAGATATGTGTATACATTCACTTCAATCGTTATTCACTTCTTAAAAGATTGTTTTTCAGACACGCCGCGCTTCATTAACTTTCGTAAATAACATTCGCCAATTTACAAACAATCAGACCAAATCAGAGCGAGTCTATCTGCCCTGCCTGCAGCGCACAGATACAGGCGAGCAAGGGCTCCTTGCAAGCGAGAACGCAGGCTATTGTAACACTCGCTCTGATGTGGTCTGATGTTTGTAAATGGCGAATGTTATTTACGAAAGTTAAATGAAGCCGGAGTGTCTGAAAAACAATCTTTTAAGAAGTGAATAACGATTGAAGTGAAATG